TTTTGATTCTTATGCACTACCACCTCCAGTTGAACTTGTTCAATATTTACACAGTCCTGTTTATTATAATAGTAAAAGAATTCAGTTTGGAGACACTTCTTTTTGCGGACACTTGTGCCTTTATGTATTAAAAAAGCTTGATGAAGGTGTTGATTTTCAAAGTATTGAAAACTCATTATACTGAATTAAAAAAATATAGCATATTTAAAATGAGTATGAATATAGCCGGTAGTAATTCATTATATGGTTACACAACAGATGGATTAAATATCAACATTAATGTTGGCAATACAGCCACTACTGATGTTGATTTAAATTCACATAAATTAATCAATGTAGCTGATCCTACAGATGCACAAGATGCAGCTACAAAAAGTTATGTAGATAATAATCAGATTTCTAGCAGTTCCTATCTAAAAATAGATGGAACTAATAGTATGAGTGCAAATATTAATTTGAATTCACATAAATTGATTAATGTAGCTAATCCTACTAATGCACAAGATGCAGCTACAAAGTATTATGTAGATAATAATCAAACTTCTAGCAGTGCATGTCTAAAATTAGATGGAACTAATAGTATGAGTGCTAATATAAATTTGAATTCACATAAATTGATTAATGTAGCTGATCCTACTAATGCACAAGATACAGCTACAAAGAATTATGTAGATCGCTTAATTCCTTATCAACATAAATATAAAGTTTTGATTATAGCTGGTCAATCAAATACATATGCTGGTAGAGAATGGGGTTTATCTCAATCAATAACTAATGTAAATTATATGAACAGACGAATAGTCCAATTTGCGATGGGTAATGGACAAAATGATGTGTTACTTCCTTGTTCATTGAGACTAGATGTAAATGAAACAGATAATAATTGTTGGGCAGGATATGGTTCAATACTTGCTGGGCTTATAATGCAAGATGCTGAAGGTGCGAATACATTAAATATGATAAATCCTGATGAATGTTTAATGATACTTCCATGCATGCTAACTGCTAAAAGTTTCAGTAATGATTATTTTATGCCGTATGGAACTGGTTTTAAAAATTTAACTCGTAAAATCAATTACATTTCATCACATTATAACGCAGAGTTTTGCTGTATGACTTGGAGTCAAGGAGAAGATGATTCTAAAACCGGTTGGTGTGATAACTATGCATATATTCTAATGAATTTTATACAAACCATTAGAGATTATATTGCATACTCATCAAGCCAATTTGATACATTGCCAATCTCACAAATAAAAGCAAATAAAATGCTATTCATTACATTTCAAATGCTATCTTCATGGGTTCAAGCAAACTCAACTACAGCAACTCAAGTTCAAGATGCATTAAAAAATATTATAAATTTTTCTCCATATACAGCTAGTATATCTCTAGATGGTATGCCTCCCAGTCTTAGGAGTGCAAACTTCGATGGAGTACATTATGATTCAAGACAACAAATATTTTTAGCAAACAAATTTTTTGAAGCAATACCAATTGCAATGAATAATATATATGGTGGTGGCTATGGAACACCATATAATTCTGGAGAAGTATTATTAGTTAGACAAGTTGCTGGATATTTATTTCTTAACAATTATTATAGCGCCTATAGAGTATTTAATTCTACTCCATCTACTGCTCAAGTATATAGTACATTATTTACTAATTGGCAGTATAAAAACAAAGATGGCTATTATAAATATAGACTTAAATATAAAATTAATGGTGTATGGAATAGTATTATATTTAAACAAGCATTCCTTCCAATGATGTCTATGGCTTACCAAAATGTTGCACAACTCATATCAACAGATACACCATTTGGATGTACAGAACTAGGACAAGGATTTTGCGGTTTAAATTTGACAACTACAAAAAGCATGATGAATTCTGGAGCAGTACTTACACTAGATACAAGTGGTGGTTATTGGGCACCTGTATGTCAAAATATGAGCTATGTATATAATGGACAACCTGCTATGCCTATATTTGATAATTATATACAAAATAGTACTCTTCCATTTGTAGCAACAGAACTAGAATTATACTCTATAAGAGACCCTATATAATATTGTTAATAAATAAATTCCAGCGCATGCGCATTAAAAAAAATAAAAAAATTTTGAAAATGAGTTAAATAATTTTCTTGTGTATATAAAAAAGAATGAATCAAGAAAATAATATTGAGAATAATTTTTTAATAAAACCTTCAACTCAAATATATTATATTACTGCAATATTAAAAAAATATAGGTATAAAAAAGGTAATAAGGTTGGTTTTGCTGCAAGTATAGGCAGAAATGATCTTATTAAATTATTAAATCAATTAGGTGAAAAGAGTACAGAAGATGTACAAAAATATTTACATTCGTTAGGTTATAAAGGTATAGAAGATGCAATAGATAATGCTGTAAAAGAAGGTCAACTTGAAATATTAAAATATTTACATGAATTAGGGTATAGAGGACCTGAAGATTTAATTGATATTGCTGTGAAAGAAGGTCAACTTGAAATATTAAAATATTTACATGAATTAGGGTATAGAGGACCTGAAGATTTAATTGATATTGCTGCTAAAGAAGGTCAACTTGAAATATTAAAATATTTACATTCGTTAGGTTATAAAGGAGATGAATGGACAATTCATTGTGCTGCAAAAAATGGACATCTTGAAGTACTTAAATATTTACATTCAATAGGATATAAAGGTACAGAATATAATGTATATTCTGCTGTTGAAAGTGGAAATCTTGAAGTAGTAAAATATTTACATGAATTAGGGTATAAAGGAAATGAATATGCATTTAATTGTGCAGTAGGATATGATCACCTTGAAATAATTAAATATTTACATGAATTAGGGTATAAAGGTTCTAAATGGGCAATTAATTGTGCTGTAATGAATGGATATATTTAAATTTTGATACATGTAGTGACTATAAATTCTAGTAGTGATAAAGTTATGCAATGCTCCTACACATAAACAAAATCTAAAATAAATTCCAGCGCATGCGCACAGATCTGAAAGATCAGTTAGCGCACAAGAGCAATCTGCGATAGCAAGAAAAAAATTGAAAATATATTTCTTTACATAAATTATAAAAAATGGATTTTACAAGTAAAGATATTAAATTAGGAAGTTATAAAAGAAGATTAAGTTTAGCTCGTTATTTGCAAAATAAAATTAAATTACATGCTGAAAAGTTAGAAAATGAAAGATTAGAAGAAGAAAAGTTAAAAACACCATATCAAATTTATTATTAGAAAAATCACGTGACCTGTGACGTCATGCAAGAATTTTTCATAACATTTCATAACAAGAAATAAAAATTAACACTTATTTTAAAAAATTGATTTTTTAAAATAAAAAATTATTTCTTGTTGAAATAATTTATACACAATATGGTTCAATGTTAACCCAATATTAATATTAATTTATGGTTGAAAATTTGGTTGAAAATAAAAATGTTCTATGAACTCTCATTTTCCTACTACTTTCAAGTAAAAATAGCAAAAATGTTTTTTATGATATTTCATCATTATATACATTTTAATCATAAAAAGATAACATAACAACTGATAAACATTTCAATCATTAAAAGTGAATGCGACATAATAAGCATTATAATCGCAATCAATTACCATATTTTGTAATTTACATAACTTACTATTTTTTACTACACCAATGATTCAACTGAGGCCACACCTATAAACACAAGAACTATAATAGATATTATTATTTTTCCATAGAAGAGGTTGGAAAATAGTCAATTTAATCCGGCCTATTTAAATTTAATAAAAAAAGAACTCAAGTTTTATAGAAAACACTGTCATATTTTGCTATATAATATATACATATTAGACAAGTGAAACAAGTGGCAACTTAAATAATGTTTGATATATATATATATATATATATATATATATATATATATATATATATATATATATATATATATATATATATATATATATATATATATATATATATCTTTTAAATATGTATATAGCAGATTTTATAAATTAATTTTTTTAGTAATAATTATTTATTTAATTTATGTTTGAAATTTGCTTGAAATTCTATTATAAACAAAAAGCCAATTATTAATGGCATAGTACAAAGTTTTTACGTGTTTACATGGTTAATATATGTTCATTTTTAAATCTTTTATATATGTTATGTAATATATGTGCATTTTTAAATCTTTTAAATTAGCTCAAAAAAATGGTTATTTTAAACTAACCGTACCCAATTAATAAGTTATCAAGCATAACATTTTTATTGAAGATTTTTTGTTTTATGTGACAAACTTCCGCAACATTTTTTTGTTTAAAAATAAAAATTAACATAATTCGAAAATAAAGTTATTTAACTTTATTCGTAAATTTTAATGATTCTCGACATATAGAAATCAACCCTTTAAACGGCCCACTAACTAAAATCAACGCTTTAAAAATAACTGTAGAAATGAATAAAACTTAAAAATTTGAAAAAGAATGATTTAAAATAGAGACAATAAATGAAATATATGAATAAATAAAAAAAGTTTTAAAAGTAGTAGAAAAAAATGTGTTAGAAGTTCATTGCAATGTAAAAGTACTTAATATGTTTGCTGTTTTTTTTTGGATTTTTGATTAAATTGTTTTTAAAGCTTTTTGAAAACTGGTTAAACAAAAAACTTCTACAATTTTTTTATTTTGAAACATTTTGCTTAAATGATAAAACCAAATTTATTTTTGTACTTTTTTTTAAAAAAAAACGTTGATTTTAGTTAATAAATAAACTTTTTAATCCATTTGAAGTTTTATAAACTTAAAAAATCATTTTTTAAAAACTTTAGTATTATTAGTGGAATAAGTTCTGTTAAAGGAGTATGTTAGTATGTGTATATGGATTCCATAAAAATGGACTTCATAATTTTGTTGGCGGTGTTAGCAGCGATGGTAGTGTTAGTTGAGGTGGTGTGATAAAATTTTTATTGTATATTTTTAGATACTAATTAAAAGTGTGCAGATATGTATGAAAACATCACAAAACGTATTGGAATTATTCAAAATAACACTTTTTACTTCAAACGAAATGTTGATCCAACATTGCAAGTTGCAGTGTTTAGTGCAATCGGTGTTATATCTTTTGTTACTAACCTTATCATTATTTTTATTATTTATACCCATAGAATTATTCGTACAAGAAGTAATTCACTTTTAATTAATCTGGCAATATCCGACATCTTGGTTGTAGTTATTGGTGTACCAATCCAATCAACAAACCTGTTATCTAAAAATGGACCTGTAACAGTTGGCGCAGTTTGTCAACTGCATGGTGCACTAGTTCTTCTTACATTTTTAGTATCTAACTTTAATTTGGTTTTAATAGCCGCATATCGCTATTTACTAATCGTGAAACCTAAAGTACACGACTTCTTGTTTTCTAAAGTAAACTTGTTATTTATAATTTTGATAACGTATTTGACAGTAGGAGTTATTGTTTTACCAGCATTGCTTAATTGGGGAAATATTAATTATAACCCGTTTCGCGCCCATTGTATGGTTGTTTGGGAATACAGTATTAGTTACCTACTATTTCTGCAATTTTTTGCGTTTAACATTCCGTTAGGGATCATAGGTTTTTGTTACTATAAAATCATTACTTGCACAATAAACTCTAGGAAACGTTTACATAACACGGTTGACAATAAAGTCAAATTTCAGGAACAGCGCTTAACATGCATGCTTTTGGTTGTTGTGGGATGTTTTTTCACATGTTTTATGCCATATGCCATACTGCTATACTATGAGGGAGCTTTTAAAAAAAGAGCTTCAGAAATATTTAGTTTTTGTGCTATGGTGTTTGCATATTTTAATAGTACATTGGATTTTTTTATTTATTCAATAATGAATGCAAAGTTTAGACGTGCTTTAAAAATTCGCATTGTATCAATCATGCCAGTTCCTATAAATGATTCGTAATTATCACAAATAAAGTCAACAGACCTAGAGATTTTGAAAAAATAAAAAGTTTCCCCTTGTTTTTATTTATTTACTATTTTGATTTACACGGTTGCTAATTGCTTTTCATACGTGCATTGTACCGTAACGTAAACCAAAATCAATGAGTACAAAAAATAAAAAAAACTCTATAAAGTACATTTTAGATTAAAAAAATGTTTTGCGCGTACTCTCCGCGTATAGAGCAACTATTTTCTTTGATTATTAGTTTTAAACATATTTTTTTACTATATAGAATTTTTTTAGTTTTTACCAATTTAAATAGTATGCGAATTATACAATTCTATTTTGTTGTAATTTATGTTGGTAACTTAACTATCTGTGGCCTTTTCATAACGAACTTAACACGTTGCGTACGTAAGACGTATACTCGACGTATACTATAAGTATACTCGTCAAACAAAACTCTGCTTGCGTACGGACGACGAGTATACTCGCTTGAGTTTAAATGCTAATAATTTTTTATTCTGAAGGTTTTATTTTTTGAAATTGCTTTTAAAAGTTGAATTAAACATTCATCTGTTAAGTTTTTACGTAAGAACATATATTTGTCAATATTTTACTTTATCTTTGATTTTATGTAAAAAGAGCACTTTTTACATTTTTAATGAGTAAGATATCGTAACTATTCAGGTATATATATATATATATATATATATATATATATATATATATATATATATATATATATATATATATATATATATATATATATATATATATATAGTCCGGTGCCCACTGGGGAAGGCTAATTCCGTATGGGGAATTAGCCTTACCCAGTGGGAACCAGACCAAAAAAAGACGTCTTTTGAACGTTCAAAAGACGTCCAAAACGTTCAAAAGACTTTCAAAAGACTTCCAAAACGTCTATAAGACGTTTAAAAGACGTCTTTTTTACGTACGTGTCCACTGGGTCTAGGGAGTCTTTAAGCAATCATTTTCCGTTTAATTCTTTAAAAGGAATTATTTATTCTGCATTTTCTAATCGTTATTCTGAACAATTTCTAGAAATTTTTGTCCAAAGGGAATTGTTTGCGTAACAATCATTACACCTGTAAAGTTTTGTTTATTCATTGTGATTTGTATTTTGATGATTGTTTGTGTTTTTCGAAAGTTTTCTTTTAACCATGAACTCTTAGATTTACTTGAAGTAGTAACGGAGACGTTGGAAATGTTGATCTCAATCTTCTTCCGTTGATGAGGTGAGTAGGTGATGCAAAACCGTCAACAGGGGTATTTTTCGCCTCCAGTAGAGATGTACAGATCTTGATTAATCTATGTACAGATCTTAATTTGATCTTTTTGCTTTGGTTTGCAAGTTTTCTGTTGATTGCACATGTCTCTTAGCCATTCCGTTTAATTATTGATAATGTGGGCTAATAGTTATATGTTTAAACTCCCATTCTTTACTAAATTTTCGGAATTCTGAAGATGTGAATTTTGTGTTGTTGTCACCCGTACTAACTGCGGTATACCAAGTCTGGAAAAGATCATTTTTAGTAAACGGACTCAAGGAAAACAAGAAAAAGGACAGTGGTGGCGTCAGCATTTTTTGGTCTTTGAGATAGCTAACTTCCAGACATGGAGCAAACTTCAAACATTTATATGTTTATACTTATGTCAAATAAGAATGCTTTGCAAAAAATTGCAATGATTTTGGAAATTTCTAAAAATTGTGATGAGCTTGTGAACAAAAAAACCCCTAAAATTTTGCCGACACTGCCCTAAACGTGAGAGCAACAAGTTGATGAAATAGTTTCTGTACTATTTTCAACTAGACTTAATTCATCGATAAATTTTATATGTTCATAACTTTCAAACGCTGAGAGATAACACTATGAATCTAAAAGTTTATCGATGAATATAAGTCTAGTTGAAAATAGTACAAAAACCATTTCATCAATTTGTTGCTCTCATGTTTAAGGCAGGTACGGCTAAATTTTTGAGACTTTTCTGTTCCCAAGCTCCAATCACCGCAATATTTTGAAAAGCATCCTTATTTGGCATAAGTATAAACATATAAATTTTTGGAGTTTGTTCCATGTTTGGAGTATCCATTTTGTCATGAAAATGGAAGGACCACCCATTCCATCCTAAAAAAAAACACACAACAGCAAGTCTTTTGAAATAAAAAAAATAATTAACTATTGTCTTGGCTTTTAGTTAATAATATCTAAATTTGAAAACAGTAAGTGAATAAGTAACAACTATCAAATAAGTTCTGCATAATGTGCAACAACTTTATTGATAAAGTATATAATGAAATCATAATTACACAAGTAAACATGAAGAAAGGTTGTATAATGATTTAAACAATAACAAAAAATAAAATGTTCTGCAACCAGTAAATGTTAAAAGACAAAAAAAATATCTTTTGTATTAAAATACTTTTAAGGCATCAACATGTTTATTTTATTATTAACAATACCAAAGATTATATTGTTCATGTCATCCTTATATGTCAGTATCATCTATCATATCACTATACATCACTATCATATCTTTACATCTATATATCACTATCATATCTATACAACTATACATCACTATCATATCTATACAACTATACATCACATTCATATCACTATACATCACTATTATATATCACTTACGGAATTTCAAAAACTAATGAAATAGTAAGCCTGCATCTAAACAAAAAAGAAACATTAGAAATGTTTGTGTAAAGATTTAAACAATAATCAAAAGACTGAGTATTATACAATAGATAAATCATAAAAGATTAATATACCAACTGTACTTAATGTAGATAAAGCTAAAGGTAAAAAAAGATGTAAAGAACAAAAAACACATAGTTTTCGCTAATAAATATATACAAAGTTGTTTTAAAAAAAAAAAGGTTTTCAAACTTACCAAATATAGCAGATATCTGCTATGGTTGGTAAGTTTGAAAACTTTTACACTTTAGCTTTGTCACCATCTAGATGGTGACAAAGCTAAAGGTAAAAAAATTAACAAAAATAACTTTGATTTTGGCATTAATTCTATACAGAACTGAAAAAAAATTTTCTTTTTAAACTTACTAACTGTGGCACTGCCACTGGCAGATGTTGATAAAACTAAAAGAAAAATAAGGTGTCATCAAATAAAATTAAAAAAGGTAATAAACTTATAGTATAGCTTTAAAGAATAAGAGTAGAAACACCAAATAAAAAAATACTTATTTAACTTACCAACTGCATCAGATGACGATGAAGCTAAAGTTAAAAAAGGTATAATATAAAAAAAACAACAACACTTTTTAGGCAACAAATCAAATAAAACAATTTTGTAATGGTGTAAATAACAAATAAAATAAAGGCGTAAATACCAAAAATTAGGTATTTATTTAAATGTTTTGAATAGGTTTAATGTAGTCAATGATTTTTAAAAGTTTAACAAAAAAATACACAAATATAAATGATATTATTATAAAAAAACATATGAACTACTTACTATCTGTTTGATTACCCAGTTCATTTATATCATTCATTTTTTAAATTACTAACAATCCAAGTGAAACAATAATTATTAAAAAAAAAAACCTCTCTCCCCAACCCCACCTCGGCTATTTTTGAAAACAAAAATTAGGTACAAAAAGTGTTTAACTGATTTAACTAATTGCTACATAATATTTTTTCATAAAATTCAAAGAAAATGCATGTAGAAACTTATTTAAAAAAATCAAAAAAGCAGAATAAAGGTTCCTTCGACAATAATTTAACAAGTAAACGCAACATAATTTTATGAGCAAAATACTCAAAAAAAAAGGTATAACAACCATATAAAAAAGTAACACAAAAAACAAGCTTAACTCTTCTTCTTTCCAAAAATATACTACGTGTATATATGTTTCTGAAAAAAAAAACACAAAAAAAAAATGTTTGCATGTTTGCATGCAAATGTTTTAACCCTACTCAAAATAAAATAAGACGGGAAATCCGCTAAAAAAAATCGGATAAATAGAAATTACCTAGTTTCTGTTTATCCAATTTTTTTTAGCCAAAAGTGCTAAAATGATTTATTTATCTGCTAGATAATATTTTTCGATAAAATTTGGTAGGTGCATAGAAAATGCATGTAAAAACTTATTTAAAAAAATCAAAAAAGCGGAATAAAGAGTCCTTCGACAAGAATTTGTCAAGTAAACACCAACCTATTTTTTATGAGCCAAATGCTCCAAAAAATGGTAAAACAACCGTACGTAAAAATAACATAAAAAACAAGCTTAACTCTTCTTCTTTCCAAAAATATACTATATGTATTTATGTTTCTAAAAAAAAACTCCTTAAAAATACGTTTGCCTTAGGCTACCTAAAAAAACGTCAAAAAAACGAGTCAGAATTTTAGCACAAAATTCGGCTCCGTAAATCGCTATTTCCGCGTACCTAATATATATATATATATATATATATATATATATATATATATATATATATATATATATATATATATATATATATATATATATATATATATATATATATATATATATATATATATATATATATATATATATATATACATATATATATATATATATATATATATATATATATATATATATATATATATATATATATATATATATATATATATATATATATATATATATATATATATAATATTTAATTGTAATCTTAACATTTATTATAATATTTAATAATAAATGTTAAGAAAGTATAAAGGAAGCAATAGGTGTGTCAGGAATGGAAAAGTTCACAAAACATGAAACAGTTATAATAAAGAAGATCTTGAAAAGGCTGTTTATTTAGTATAAAGCAAAACACTTACTCTTTCTGAGGCTTCAAAGAAATATAAAATTTAAATGAATTTTAATTATATAAAATTCCAATTTCCACTTTGAGTAGAAAGTATAAAATGAAAAATGGTCATAAAACTGCAGGTCGACCAAAGATGTTTAGTGATGACGAGAAAAAAAGTTTTGTTTACAACCGAAAATTACCAGTGAGTAGGGATTTCTGTTTGATTTATTAGATTTGAGAATTATGATTCAACCATATTTCAATAATACTGGAAGGAAAGTTTATTTTCTTAAAGATAGCTTTCCAGGAGAAGAGTGGGTGACAAGTATTTTAAAATGTAACAGACATGTTTTATCAAATCGATATGCAAAAAATATTGCAACAGATAGAGCAAAAACTTCATCAAATATAATTGATAATTTTTTCAATAATCTTGAAAAAAATATGACAAATGTTTCACCTGACTGCATCATCAACTATGACAAGACAAACTTAAGTGATGATCCTGGAGCAAAAAAAATATATATTTAAACGAGGTACTAAGTACCCAGAAAGAGTTTTAAACAGTTCTAAAACCTCAATAAGTTTAATGTTTGCTGGAACTGCTACTGGTGCTATTTTACCCATTTATGTTGTTTATAAATCAGAACATTTGTGGGGGACTTGGATGGAAGGTGAACTTGATAAAATTGTTTATAACCAAA